GGAAGCCCTGGTCCGGGCCGGTCACGTGACGACAAAAATGGCAGTATTTGACAGCTACTCGTCAAGGAGTGGCGAGATATTCTTTAATGAAATATACAAGTCTTCGAAACAAATAAATAGCCAAAAGACTTCTCAATCGATATTATTTATGTGTAGAGCGAAGTTTGATACGAATCAGCTAAAATCTAAGAAGATCCCGTCTATGTTTTCTAAGATATACCGATATTTCTGGAGATTTTCAACTACAGGCAAAACTCTGCATCCAAGCTGCATCTAGGCGTCTCCATGCAAGTGGTGATTCACACGAAATTTCCTTTCTCTCGTCTTGAACAATATGGCTATTGCTATAATTAATATTTAGTTTAAATATGCTCTTATAGATCTGACTTAGTTCAATATATTAAATAAACACAAATATAAAACCTCGCGTAACCTGTTTACGCTGTACAGGAATATACGGTTCGCTTGTTTCGCCGGACACCAACACTTGCCGTTCAGGAGCAATGCTTGCCTACAAATTTTATCCCCTTCACAGTCTTTGTTTTATTTTATCGTATAGTTGCAATTTTTAAGTATTCGGCGTATTCTGAAACTGAAAAACTGGGTGGCGTGCGAATCTTGTAGACTACATCGGCCTAGGCGTAGAGCTAAACAGGGCCTAAATTAATTTAGTAGTTTCATTTAATTGTTTGTCTTGCTTTTATTTGTCAGTACAGAATATTGTAAATTAAAATATTACTACAATGCAATACGCGTAATACGCGTAGTATTTCATCAGACATCTGCACTAATAAATACTGTACAAGGAAAACTTAAATAATAGTAGACATTTCTTGTTTTGTCAGGAAACATCACAGCTCACTTCGACACGGCTTTTGAGTTTTGTAACCGGCCGAGGCGAAAGTAAATCGTGCAGTCGGGAAAACGTCTCACTTTGAAAGATTATTTTGCGAAGCATACTCGTAGACACAAGAATCATAAAAATACAAATGTTGAATTGTATTGTAATTTGTTATTGTCAACCGTCAAGTTCAGTTATTTTTAGACAATATGGTGTTAGCCAATCAGAATGCAAAAGTGACCGGCCCGGACCAGGGCTTCCTCGTGTCTCGCCTAGTCCCACACTGAAGCCCTGGGAACGAGGTTGAACCATGCCCCCTCCTTCCACCTGCCTCCATAGGCATGGTGATCGCTAGATAGTATACTTCAAAATAAGGTTTCCGTTTTTATAACGTAGAAAAAACTATCCTAACGCAAAACTAAACCCTAATACTAACCCTAACTCTAACCTAACCCTAACCTAACCCTAACCTAAACCCTAACCTAACCCTAACTTATTTTAATTATTTTAAAAATTGATATAAAAATGGAAACCTTATTTTGAAGTATACTATCTAGCAATTGCCCCATAGGCATACACGACAGGGGTGGGGGGCAACTCCCCCAAAGTAAAGAAACAAAGCCATGGAAATTCGGGCAAATGCTATGAATGCAAAACCTAGAATATTCTGGCATATTTATCAGAAAATATATTAAATTCAGGTTATTTCATTACAATCCTGAGCCGTAAAAATTTGGGCAAACTTTCAACTGCCCCCCCCCCCCTGAAAGCATCAGCCATGTACACATATGCCAACCTAACCCCCCTCCCCCCGTTCTGATGTTGTTGGTTTGATATTGTAATTACGATGAACCCGTCAGGCAAACTTTTCAGCTTGCCCGGTGTGGATGCACACTCAGAGTAACACCACAAACATCATATTCACCTGAGTGAGTACATAACACCAACACACACAAAAAGAATATTTGGCATGTTTTTAGGGGTGCACCGGATTTGGAATTTTCAAATCCGGCCGGAACCGAATTTACCGGATTTGGACAAAAATTCCGGCCGGAATTCCAGCCGGATTTGCCGGATTTGAGATAAACCGATAATGGGGATAATTTGGGAGAATTCAGTATTGAAAATGACGTTTTTATGTTTTTTACTATTTTTAGTTAGTGTCAGTTTAGATTTTTGATTGTGTTTAAACCTTTTTAAATATCTTTTTGTTAATAACTTGATATTTTATAATAATAAAAGCAGCCAAATTGATGGTTTATCCCATTCTTGGTGATTTTTTTAAGGTGAAAACAGACATTTAAATCCGGCCGGATTTTCTCCAAATCCGGCCGGATTTGAAATCCGGTGCACCCCTACATGTTTTACACAATGTTTGTACCAGGTGCTGTCATGCTACAGAAGATTGAACAGAACTTGTCAAGAGGTGTTCAAAAATGATGTCGTGATGCTTGAAGCGGCCAGGAGAAAGATGAAGGAAGATTTCAGACGGAATAAAACAGAGAATAATCCGGACAAGATCGAGGAACTACTGAAAACAGCTGTGGAATCAGAAGAGGTGTTACGGCGTCTTATTGTGCAGGGTGTCCGTAAATCTGATGGCACGTATAAACTAAACTTTAGAGATGATACAGTGCTTGAGGATAACGCACCCTTACCAAAGCGATGATGTATTGAATCATTTTTAACCCATTATAGGTGTAAAAATATTCTGTTTCTGGTCAGCGCGCGTGCGTCATTTTTAACCCATTAAAGCACAGAGGAGAGACATACAGAGTTGTAACTAGTGTACCCACTTTTTTCGTGGGCATGCTCGGCAAGTTACTGCATCTGATTGGATGACGACCTGATGACGACTCACTTTAAACTTGCTGAGCACGCGCAGTTGATCATTTTTTGCCCGGTCGCCTGAAAAACGTGGGTACATGAAAACGTAAGCTTCCGCAGTGTTTACGACGGTCAGTTACCGCTCTGTATGTCTCTACTCTGTGATTAAAGCTACGTTTACACGCTACGATTTGTCGTGTACGATTCGTATTCTGGCGTATTAAAATGAGCACGTGCTGGCGCCATAATTCATTGCCGTTTCGTTAAAAAGAAATTTCAAATGTAGCCAGCTTACGCGTGTTTACTCAATGACATACGCCAGAAAACGAATCGTACACGATTAATCGCAGCGTGTAAACACAGAATAGGAAGTTATACCAGAAGCGTAACTCGAGCAAATATTTGTCCGCGTTTTTACAAGCGATTCGTCATCAATCACGCCATCCTGGCTAGTACAACCGGCACTTTGTACCTACCAAATCCTGATAAAAACTTCCGGCTGTACTAGCCAGGATGGCGTGGCCTGACGTGAGCGAGTTAAAAATTTTTGTGGACGTCAAACAATAAGGGAAACGACTAGAGTTACGCTTCTGGTATAACTTCCTATTCTGTGACAGAGTAGAGACATACAGAGACGTAACTAGTGTACTCACTTTTTTTGTGCGCACGCTCGGCAAGTTACTAAATGCACTGACTCTTCCACAGGCTCTCATTTGTACGCGCGGTCGCGTAATTTGAGCAGCGCTGATTTCAGATTCTATCGCATTCCCATTAAGCACCGCGCTCCCATTGTTTTTCCACTGATCTCTATCCCAACTGAAGCGACGAGGGACGAGGCAGCTAAATGCATGCATCTGATTGGATGACGACCTGATGACGACTCACTTTAAACTTGCTGAGCACGCGCAGTTGATCATTTTTCGCCCGGTCGCCTGAAAAAAAGTGGGTACATGATAACGTAATCTTCCGCAGTGTTTACAACGGTCAGTTACGTCTCTGTATGTCTTATCTACTCTGTATCACAGTGTTCGCTATTCATAACAGTCCGCCATATTTTTTAGATCAGTGAGGACACAGATGAGGTAATACAGATGTGAATCTCCTGTGAAAATGTGTCACACGGATTAAATAAACTTTAAAATTGTATTAATTCACTATTTTATTAAATTTTGATAATGCAGAGGAATAAAACTATACATATTATAGAAGTATTCATGTTTTTTTATGCAAGAGTTATGTTTTGAGGCATTTATACCATTCATTGTTTTGTTATTTATACACGAGCATCTGAAATTCCCAGCAAGTGTATTTCACGATTTTAATAAGACGTAGATAGGGAAAAAAACAAACTTTTGCTAAATAAAATGTTATATTAACACTTTTAATAAAAAGAAATCAATAAAAGCGATCGCTTACCGTTACTCTTGAAGAATTAATTCCAAAAATAGCCGTCGGTAGCGTAGACTTTTTAAAAAAACAATTTTTCGTCTTTCGAACGGCGTTTTCCTATCTCTTTCCTTATTAAATTTCAGAACGACACTTGCCAGCGCTCGCCGGAAGTGAGAATTCCGTGTGACACAAAACAATCAGCAATTTGACGTGAGATTCGTATCTGTACTTACCTCATCTGTGCCTTCGGCGACGAATTGCTGCCGCAGCGAGCGAGCCTCAAGCGAGCGAGCAAGGCAGCAGATCCTAATTTTGTTTTGTGGGTCAAAATCAAAATTTTCTATTTGGCGCATTGCATGACGGTATCGGTGAATTTTGACCGTGGTGCAGCGCGGTCAGGCATAAGGCAAATAGGCAATGTGATCATCTTTCATATTTTTCTTCTTTTATGGAAAGCCATAGCTGGCTTAAAGTGATCAAACGGCATTTTGGCAGCGAATGCGCCAAGCAGCATGAACGCGACTGAAATACGATATTAATAAAATCTTGAATGTGCCGTATGATTTAATTATGTTTTAGGATTTAAATATGCTTAATTAGTCATTTGTATTTATACTTGTACTGCATCACAAGTCAGTGCGTAAGTGAACAGATTCCTCATGTGAGGTTGTCTTGTATATATTTTTGCCTTCTTTGATAAACATTATTTAATAAACACGCAAATTTGAATAGTGAGACGCACAGTCGCACATGTTAAATGTCACCTGTATATCATTGTCATTGCCCTTGGCCCTGGTCTAATTAGTACGTTTTTGAAAATGTTGATGTATAAATTATGGATGATTCCAATTCATTACAAATATTTCTTATTCTTGTTCTTTAAATACTAAAGATTTGGGAACAATTCTATACCAAGGCAGCATTAACTACCCTGTGGGTAAACTAGTTTAAAAGTATGGTTTCTGGTGCAATTTGAAAACATACACTGTCACTCGTGAGTTTTTCAAAGATATTGATAGTCTTTCCATAATTCCATTCATGGAAAACATAATATTGTATACGTTTGTTTGTCAGCACTCAACAACTATCAAACGTTTTAATACGAAATAAATCTTGTGTACACCGAGGTGTACACATAATAATTCAGCTACAGTGGAACCCCGCCTTACGGCCACCCCGTTAATACGGTCACCTCGATAATACGGTCACTTTTTTTTTGTCCCGGCGAAATACTAATACATTTTATAATAAAGTTACCCGGTTAATACGGCCACCCCGTAAATACGGCCAACGGCCATATTGTAGAGTCCCGACCTAAAGAAATCACCCCGTTAATACGGTCACTCAAAAAAATAAATGTGTTTACGGACGGAAATGCAGTATAATTGGTATTATGGTGGGGTATGGTGTTTTATTATTATTATTATTATATTTATATTTATCCAGGATACCCACGTCACCGAAGTGTTTTTCAGTGGGGTCCTGCATTATAAATTTCAACTTCAATATACATATACATTACAAAATAACATGCAAATCTACAATAACATGCGTTAA